GTTGTTTGATAGGTACTGACTTGGATGGTGGCTACTTGCTGGCAATAATGGAATGGTGTATTGCACCAGTACCAGCACAAAGAGAGGTGCACCGTTGGTTACCTTGGGGAGTATGAAGTGTTCATAATGCCATGACTGGAATGCGTCGCCCTCACTTCTGAAGACAAGTGATCTGACAGATTGTGTGCTATTCGCGTCACTACTGGGGCTAAAATTTCGCATTGGCTGAGTAAATTTGGATGGGATGAAGGGGAAGCAGGTATTTCTTGTATCTAGCATATCATAACAAAGTTTCATGAGTCGCAGTTATGGCCAATATTTCGTATGTTTAAGTTATTTTCGTAGATATTAGTCCATAGACGATCCCGGGTAGTTAGTATCTGGTGGTTTTCGGGGATATGCTGAGCCAGAGCCACCTTCAGAAAAGAAGCCAAGTCCTCTTGTTCCTAGTTGCAGAGGCCACTGGATCACGCTTCTGTATATATTAGCCATTGATGGGAGAATTGTGTCGGGTTAGGCACTTCCATGTTGGTATGCTTTCGACTTAGTCATAGGGTATCCAGAGAAGTTGCTTCTGTTGTGGCTGTCGGGTGAAGATCTGTTTGGTGTTGGACGACTCGGTGAGTTACCTCTCTTTTTACTGACATTATTTTTACAATAGCATGAATGCCCATTCAATTTTTGTAATTTAACAGTAAGACTGGAGTTATTAAGGTTAAGGGCATTGGGTTTTTTTACCGAAAAATCGACCTGTAACGGACACGAGTACAGTTATCCTAGATGGTTGGGCTACGTGACTTTGTTTTGTGTGCTTATAAGTCTGAGTGCTCATTGGGGACGTTCTATTTATTGCTAAATGCCTATTCTTTTGCGTGACACTAGTAGTGGCATCAATAAGGGATCAATTGGCAGCTGATGGTGGCGATGTGTCTAGAGAGCATTGCCCTGAAGATGGGTCTAATTCTGTGACCGCAGTTGCTTCATTGTTGGGTTTATTAGGAGAAGCGCCATTATATGAGGGCATTTTATTTTCATACGCATCTGTAGCAGCTGGTTAAATCTGAGGGGATACAATCTTCTGCAGGGAATTCTGTGGCTACATAGGTTTTTCATACATTTGATACACTTGCACGGCCACGTCTTTGACATGGCGTTAGATCACGAGCAAGTTTAACGTCACTATAAGGTTTGGCTGAACTAATAAGCTAGCTCGGTATAGAAATTCAGGACTGGTCCCCTGTTGTCGTAACTACTGAATGGGATAAAATCCAACAGTGTTGTCTGGTGAGGAAGCAAACTGAATTCAACGTAATAGTCGCTCAAAGCCAGGGATTAACACGTATTGAATTATGGCAGTAGTTCGTCTGGGAATTGACACTTCTAATTTTTGAATGACTTTTTCAGAGTGTTTCAAAGCAGTAAGAAGCATTTTAGAGCGTTATTTTAACTAGATTCAATTCAGAACTCTGTGATGGGAGGATAACAAGTAGTGATAATAAGCGATTGCTTAAGTAATAAGGATCCCTTATGGTCATTATTGTAACAGTGAGAGCTATTTATACTATTCTTTCGATAGTGGTCTTGAAGTTGAGTCAAGTGGTAGAATCATGAGAATACAGATTCAATATTCTCTTGCAGACATTAATTGGATTATGAGTCGCTACGAATTCTATAAGAATCACTTACGGTTTAACAGGCTCCAAGTGTTTTGTTTGCTGCACAGGGACTTTCTTCTCTCATCGATCTGAAATAGATGTCATTCAGAAAATATCCTGATAGATGGTCTTGATACCATTTTTGACTCCGAAGAATGTAATTTTTAATTTCCCGACCAAAAATGAAGGCTTTACAAGACAATTCTATTTTATGCATCTATCAGAAATATCTTGAGTAAACACAAAGTCCAATTTTTTATGACTATTAGTTGGTCAACGCATAACATATTTATGTTTACTGCCAAGGAGGTCATAAATTTGTTTCGTCGATGAGCGACTAATTTAGAATCACACTCAAGACCCAAGGGAAATGGAAAAGAATAAGTACCTAGTGTCTCTTGATAATAGTGAGTCCATTTATCAACTGCGGCGATATTCGTATAAAACATAACTAGCAGTAATTTTCAGTTTTCTTTTCAGTGGGGAGAACTAAATGAAGTTCGGAAAATTATTTATGTGTGTAGCTGGTTGGATTGTGGGGTGAAAGTATGTTACTACAGTGCATGACCTTAACCAGAAAGTACCACGCAGGTCTAACTTGTTAAAATTTCACTACTTTGGAAATGGCTGGAACGTTCATTTTGAACATTCACAGGCACCTAAACAGCACTGTGACTGCTATAAGTCAGATAGCCGTGCTAAATCATCAAGTGGAAAATTAATGGATATTGTCCAGATAAGCGATGCAATGGAATTGGTGGAACTACAATGAGCCCTCCCAGGGAAGTCGGCGGGCTGTGACGATGTTCAACCACCAACTTCCGAGCACTGAACAGGAGCTCTCTGCGGTCCCATATGCTACCTATTCCAACGCTTCTCCGATTCACGCAGACTACCTAGAGAGTGTAAGAGAGACATCCTTGCTCTTACCTTTAAAGGTGGGTTCGGCGAAACGCACTGAGATAGAACAGGGGCACTACTTTCAGTGGTATTGTTGGTATTGGAAAGTCTGACTGATGACAAAGTCAGGCAATAACTTAGCAAGAACAACATGCTCCTCAAAGCACATTATGCTCTCAGAAGATATAGATCCCATGCATCAAGTCAGCTGTTAGCAAGGGCCCTTAATTTTTTTTATTTTCACCAGTAATCTGCCATACCACCCAAACTACATGGCTCTTCATCACACTGAGGATTTAAAAAATTGATGAGCAGTAAAGCGTTAGGAAGACTCATACAAGTTGCGTAAAGGCCAGAAAACTTTGGAGTGCCTGGGACTGGTCAGTGTTGTCCCTAGATCTACAAGACGTGAAGTAGTGGAACTGAGAACCGGTTTACAACAGAAGGCAAGTTACTCCTTGTGTGACGATATCTTGCCTGTACAACGTCAAAAAGTGACTAGGGCGTTGATCTGATTGAAAACTGGGTGCACTTGTGGATTTCCGAATTGATGTGGTAAGGACATATTCGGTAATATATATAACACGGACGTTTCTTAGAAAGGAAGTCATTGTTTTGGAAAGGGTTCAAAGGAGGTTGGCGAAAAGGGTTAAAGGGCTGCGAAATAAACCCATCAGTGATATGGAGAGGAAATTAGGTGTTTTCACACCTAGCTGCTGTAGGCTTGGTGGTGACCTAACTACTGCCTACAAGATTATGACCATTATCACCAAACAAGAGCATTCTGCCATTCACTTGGAAATGATTTATTCGTGGGCTCCCATCTACTCCAACCTCAAATTTGTCGTCCATGAAACTCTTGGTCAGTAGGTGCCGCTACTGGACCTTCGATAGTAAGTAGTAAGTGGAGGCTGGATAATAATGCAGCAACTCATGCTCTATGTTTCAATGGGATATCCACTCTAAGCTCACTATGATCTGTTAATGGGTACCACACAAACTCGTGATTTTAACCCACCTAGTCTTCCTTATCTCACTTTTCTGAGTATTTCGCTCACTCATTCACTTACTTTTCACTGATTTAATTTCATTTTAAGTCAATAAAGTCTCAGTTGTATTATCTCGTTTTTCGATCACACCGGACGATTAGTGAGTGAAAGAATTAACTTCACTCACAGTAACACCATGGCTTTAACACACTGCAGATAACAAAACATATGCAACAATCTCTGTAGCTACTTCTCTCGGTGTCAACCAGAGATACTGCTGGCGGTAAAACTATGATAAAAATTTGCTTTATTCCAAAACAGTACTTGTGATACAGAATGGAATTCTCAGCATTTCACTACAGTATTGCATCCAGTTTGTACATTAACAATAAATAAAATTCTACATTGATTTTGGGTAATCTCAGTTAGTTTTGACAACAACATATTAGCATATCGGTAGCAAAGCCAAAAGTGAACAGAATGTTTGAAGGTGTTAGAAAAGTAGATACTAGCATACTTACTGGCATAAGTGGTAACAAAAAGGTCGAGATATACAGAGTGTGAAAGAACGAAGAAGAATGTTTTCAATAGATTTTGTAAGGAAGAGAGAAACAAAACATCACAAACAAGGAGTAAAGGAAAAGAAAGAAAGAAATGATGTGAGTTGGAAAGACGAGATCCAATTGTTCTACTGACTATTTAATAATTTATAAGTTTCAAGCCTAATGGTTTCTTTATCGCACAGAACACGAGCGAAGTAGGGTATGGTTGAGCTTTGTACTTTCTAGTGCGAGCATATAGTTTTCTATATAGGCTTCTGATCCTGCCTGATGAGATACAAGGGAGAGTTTTGAATGAAGAGGGTCGTGTGAGTTAGATAGAATGGATTTAGCCCATTTTCCACATGAGTCCAAGTGCCTATCGACTAGAATATTGAGAAGCTGGTTAAGTGGCACATTGCTTACCCTGCTGACAGCCTTTAACACCCTACGTAATAAGATATGATCCTTTTTCGGCAGCTCTGGGAAAACTAAGGGGGAACAATAGAGAATAATAGGCAGGATGCAGGAGTTAATGAATCGTAAGAGTAGGGGCTCGGTTATTCCAGAATGTCTTAACTTCTTGATGTAGAAGGTAAGACGGAATATTTTCTTAGAAATCATCAAGATATGAGACGACCAGGAAAGATCTGCAGATAGAATAATGCCAAAATATTTAATTTCCGATTTGGTCTCCATTTCAGTGCCATCTATGTTGCACACCTCATGAGTGCTAACCAGTTAGTTTGGGTCAGATTTATGCAGACATTTGAGGACGACCAGGAATCCTTACCTTAAAACCATGAAGTATAATTAGAAAAGTAAATCTAATTTATACTAACCCATAAAAACAAGTTCGATAATGGACCACATTTGTACCCATGATTGTTTTACTGAAGTATTATAATGTACTGTAACTGCCATAGAAACTGTTTCGATTTGAAATAGACATGGCTGTACCTTTTTCTAATACAACTTTAAGAGTTCCACATGGATTTCCAAACTTGCTGGAGGGTTTCGCTCGAGAGGTGTTACGGCATCAACCAAAAGACATTTACGGCTTCGGTGCCAAGTATTTCGAAGAACTTTTAAGAAAAAGAGAAGGTATCTGAAATAAGAAGTAAAATGCTTATAGTACAGAAACGGGTATCGAAGACTTGGCTCAGCTTGGAGCAAAACTAGATGACAGATATTATAATAATAAAGCTTATTGTGTAAGTTTGTTAAGATAATGATATCACGTCGTATGTGGTTAAATGACCGAAGGTTATATAATGAATAAAATGTGCTCAACAGTAAGATATAGTAGATAAACATGTGTTGAAGAATTAGTATAGCAGGAGTTTGTAGGCGCTTAATTTTAATCAATTGGCATCACCAAAAACTTTTTTTGTTGGTTATGTAAGAAATACATTGGTGAGTGCACACTTGGGAGAGGTTAGTGAAGACTGACAATCAAAACATCCATAAAATGTAGAAATTAGGAACTCAGATGACTGCTAAACGCCTGCTCCTAGTGCACCATACATATTTTTGATCTAAAATGAGGTCACCAGCTTAGCCGTTCGGACTGTGACATATGACTGCTGTCATTATCGTGTTTTTATTCATGTCAAACTCGTAGCTCCAAGATTAACATGTGTTATTTGGACTAAATGTTCACTTTCGCCTTCAGATCAACTTCTGAGTTTTCAAGAATATACAGAACTTCCCCATCTCTCTTATAACTCGTCGCTCTGCGTAGTCTTGCATCAATTTACCTAGGAATTCTACTCCTATTAAATTCGTTGTCTTAGCAGTACTCGCTGTGTCTCGTTAAGAACCTGAAGAAAGCTCCACTAGTTCAGAAGTTTTAATCCTAAGAATGTAGGCATTCCGATAGCATAAACTCATACCTACATGTCTATCTGAATTGTAATCAGAGGTTTTTACTGAGGGACCACCATTAGATAGCTCAATACCTTCAAGTTTTAGTCACTTGTTTCCAAATGGGTCTCCGATTCGACTACTGGTTCTCCTCACTTGAGTGAATTTTCGGAGGTCACTCAGGTCTAGGTTAGATGTAGCCTTAGTCTTGTATGTGTGTGACTAAGAATTATGTTCCGTTATATTTCATTCCCTATCACTATCTTTAGTATTTTGCAGGAACTCATCACTCCTAGTCTGTTTTCCAATTCGAATGAACTGTATGATGTGTATCTTGTTACTCATCTGTGAAAGTCACTCCTGCAGTATAATTTTTACCAGCACTTTGTGATGTGCATGTCAAAGTGCTGCGTTTAGGTTTGGAAACTTTCCAGGTGATGACACAGCGTACTCACTCGGATCGTCCAAATTCAGTGTGGATAGCCTTTAAAACCTTAGGATTACTTGCCATATTATTTTATTCTTGTTCTCATTCATTTTTCAACACTTTTTGATTGTGGAATGGAATTTTCTTAGGTTTCTTGTACAGTATAGTGTTGAAAATTGAGGATTTTTATACTTGCTAGTAAGATAAGCGGCAAAAATACTTGAGCTTACTCAAAACATGGATGAAACATTACAAAATAAGAACTCAGTGTGACATATTTACTTTTCAGAGGATACTAAGATATGCTGTTCTACAAAATTTTGTAAGGATAACATTTATATACAATTCGTCTTGCTGTCTTAAGTCTAGGGAAGTCCACAGTACTGTTAGGAATTCTGAAAAATAAAATATTCGTATATTTTCGTATAATTTGTAATAAAATATTCCTTCTGCGGCAGAAGTATAGAAACTAATTATTCATATGATATTGTAAATGTTATTGAGTAGAAAACGACAGTATATGTGAAAGAGCTCGGAAGCCGTACAGAATTCCTCATAGAATGAGTAGCAAGTAGTTGCAAAGCAGGTTTATAAAAAGGTTTAATCATCATTTCACTAGATGGTAGAACTTCTCGAGGATAATTTTTGTCTTTGCAAAGTGTCCAAGTTATCTTCTGCTTGATGTTGCTTATCCAACGAAAATTTACGTGCACTTGATTATACAGTGTTTTGCATAATTCCAACTGTTGTGTCCCGAATAACCTGTAGGTATTTTGTAACCTATATTGGATACTCTGAGGGAATCTGGTCTTTACACTAGATTCCTTCGTAAGTGACAGGGAATGAACATTAAAGTTTAAAGTCTTCCAATGCAAATGTTGAACCGTAATCTAGTTTCACTCGACCTAATGACAGCGCCATTAGCTCAGTCCGCGATAGTAAAGAATAGACAGCAAAGTAAAATGGCCTTGAATCAACCAATAAGATGGATTGGCACTACACATGAATGTTGTTCATAATCTTCGTTGCAAGTTTCATCCAGTTGTTTTAATACCAATGATACAACGACTAGTCCTCCTAGGCACTACCATTCACACACCCGAGTGGAAAGGTTACTGGTTACTATATTTATCATAAAGTCAATCATACTTCTGAATTAGTAGATCCTATAATTGGAACTTATACAAATCCTATTGAAGGATTATGGGTACATCTAAAAAATGTAATATAATAGTAAATGGTTCTTGACATGGTATGATATACAACCACTTAGATGAATTTTTGTATCGACATTGGCTTTATTTGTCTACAGACACTCCTATGAGACACTGGGACCAGTTTCAATCTGCACCAAAGAGACAACTAGACACATCACACTAGTTACTAGTGTCCAATCAAGATATATACCCTTTATAATTTAGTTTCATTACATATATACCTTATAAATACACTTTAAAAAAAACTTAATGCCCCTTTTCACCTAGGAGAATATAAGTGGCAGATTCAAGGTCATTTGACTTTCGTGTCTATTTTTAACTGTTACCACCCAGTCAACAGCACTTGAAATCTGGTAGATAGGTTGGTCATATTAATTAAGTAGTCAGTGCGTGAAGTGAAGCACTGAGTAAAAATATCACCCACATAGATTGTAGCATTACCTTTAGTTTGTTTTGTGTTCACTTGACAGTAATCTGAATAGTTCATTCGCTTCAGCAGTACCTGCTTTTATCTTCTTTCTTATAGAACTTCGGTGGAAAAGATTCTCAAGAGAAATAAGAACACTGCGATATATACATTAATTTGTTTGTTACTTTGTCGTTATACTATTCTTGTTTCTGTTTCAACTTATTTTGATGTTAAAAAATTAAGTTATTTTAATTCGTAAACATTCAAAAGTACTTGTTTATTTGTTAAAAAAAGACTGGTACTTGCAGTATTAATAATGCTGAACATCAAGAAGCCGCTGTACGTATTCAAGCAGAATATCGTAGACATATGGCTGTTCAAGAGACTGAGCATATACGTGAAGAAAATGCTGCGACACGAATTCAATGCAACTACCGAGGTTACAGGGATAGAAAACTAGTGAAGTCATTGTAAGTTTTAGTATGACAGTAAACCATATTATTAATTAGTCTCACCTAAATGTTTTTAGATTTTATGTTTGTTTTTAATGTCATTGTCAAGGATCCAAATCTCGAAGATACTGGGCCTATCGCTGGTTTCAGAAGACTAAGCCTAATACGCAAAACACTATGCACTGTAACCGATGCCGAACATTAGAAAATGGTTGGACAACACGATTGTTTATTCTTCGAACGATAACAAAACAGACTTACTATGGTTAAGCAGTGCCAAAGTCTGTAAAAAAAAACGTTAATATAATGTACAGCAATACTTCTAATCGTATTTCTCCGATCTTCTGCCAGCCAGTTCACAATTAAGCAGTGACAGACTTCTTGTCTCCCACCAATGGAGACCAGTTCGAGTAAACAAACGATTCAGTGTTCATTGGCATAAACAGTCATCCTTAAATACATTGAAAGGACTAATTACGATTCTAACACTATCAAAGCTTCCAACAAAGATATGTTTTTGGTTATTTTATCAATATACGGTCATTTTTATGGCAAAATCAGAGAGTCACAGTCATTAATTAATTAATTATACATTAGTGATAAAGAACGACTTAAATGAAAATTGAAAATAATAGATATAGTGGAAAAGGAGAATTAATCACAGGAGAGTCTAACAATCATGGGAACTAACAAGTCTAGATATAAGTCTGTATAACACATAAAATAAATTCCCACATAATGTCTGACTGACTAATTTCAACAAAGAGGGTATAGGTTACAGGATTTAATCGTGAGCTGATATCGGTTAGAGAACCACTGGAAAACCTGGGAGTACTGGACAGCTGTTTCGTCCTAGTTTGGGACTCCTCAGCAACAATTTAAGGCTCCTAGTGGTTAAAAATTGTTAGAAAAAAGCACTCATCTTTTCAATTAATGAAGAAAGTTATAACGAATACAAGAGAAGAAAGATCTAGAAAATATATTTTATTCACGTGTATGAGTGAAACTTCTGAAAGCAACGCTGGATGGATCATGATTAAACGAAAAATGAATGGTGAATGTGGGATTTATCAACTGTTACTTCACTTAAAAAGTAACTGTGTCATCCATAAAGTCTCTACCATTTTGTATACTTTGGACCACTGACACATGGTCTCTGCGGATCTATGACGGGAGTAGATTTCTCAACATGTGATAACGTCTTCTCTGTGGATATACTTCAATCTAAGTCAATCACAGCGCAGATAAGGGCATAACCCTCTTCTTATAGCCTCAAGAATTTGAAAAAGTTATTTTTCAGTTAAACTTTATTAGGTGTTCATACATATTTGAAGATGGACTAAAATATTGGTTAGAGCTACGTCGTCTATGTGAAGAGTATCACCAAAGAAATACAAGTTCTCCCTGTCTAAAATGTTTGCAAAGACATGCAATGACCAATACACCATTCTTCAATTTCTTATAGACATCCACACGTTTTTGTCAAATAAATTTAACTTTATTTTGATTAGTGGCGGATCTGATGCATCTGACATTATCTGTCTATTAGAACTATTTTTTTAATATGGACACTATCACAAAATCCTAATTTTATCTCAAATGTTCTTCATATTTGTATTTGTGAAGATTATGAATCTCTGTTGTATCGCTAATCACTTTGAGCAGGAATCAAGGTTCATTAGTCTGAAGTAAGATGGTTCTTCCCGAAAGACTTATCATAAGCAAATGCAGAGAAGCAGTGACTATAAGGCAACGTATGTGTTATTTGGTTCAGTTTATTTTGTCTCCGTATTACTTTAACTACTCACTTGTTTTTCAGTAGCTTGTAGAGTTTACAAGAGATTTGCAAAAGGTTTTACAGGATTTCATAGTGAGCTGACATCGGTTAAAGAATCATTCGAAAACCTGAGGGTACTGGACAGCAGGTCGGGTGTGAGGACAAATAATCGCCGAAAACATTGGCTAGTGGTCGTGTTATGTTATGAATTGTCAAAAGTTGGAATTCACGGTCTGGTCATTGAGTCAGGTCCCAATGGCTTAATGGTCTACGAGCTCGCATTGTAACCAGAAAGTCCTGGGTTCGAACCCTGACGGTGGGTGCGTACTGATAAAGAGTCCTTAACTTGGACGAAACATTTGTCCAGTACTGCTGGATTCTTCAGTGGTTCTTCAACTGATGTCAGCTCATGATGAAATCCTGTTACCAGTCAATCAAATTCGTACAAACTAAAACTTGAATATAAAAGTTTGTTAATTTAGAAGTTAAAAGGTTTTAGCGAAAATTACCGTAGTCACTTTTTTTTCAGAAAAGAAAAGAAAGAAAATGAAAGCCAATCAGAAAACATACAACAAGAAACTGAAGTAAGTGGTTGTGTAGTAAATTTCTGCTTTTTTTATATCTAATTTCCTGATGGATTTGGATACTAATTTTATTTTTGAAGGCGTAATGTTTGCAAATTCTTAGTGGGGGAAATTTTTCCTATACACTGAAAAGATAAATGTATTTGTTTTGATTTCATGCAGTTGACATACATAAGACGGGTAGATCACTTCTGAAGACAGTAACTTATGTTAGAATCCTTCACGCTTTCTGTTTTGCTTAGTTTGTTAAGTCTGATGCACATTGAAGAGTGCTGTTCATTATATAAATTTTAAATACATTTTATTTCAAGTAATTATTTTACCTAACAACACACTGTAATATACGCCATCCTAAATGCTCACCATTAATAGTGCCTTTTTGTTGTGGAGTGAATAACCAAACCTAGCTTCAGTTTACTTTTTAAAGTCTTAGACCAGCTCTAATTATTATTGTTTCCTTGGGTTCCAAGTGACACATGGGAATTCAGTAACACATCTCCACTTTGTTCTATTTTCTGGCGGCCTCTGGCTGACCCCATGATCACCCTTAACCTCTCATCTCCTCCTCCCTAAATGATCTCCATCTCACCCACTCGTCGTTCACGTCGATGGCTTGGCATGTAATTTCATTCGACGGTCTCCTCAGCGTTTACCCTCTCCATCTCCATTTTCTCCTATCTGTTTGTTGAGCAATAGGTTCTTGCTTGATTTGTTCCCATAGTTTCTAGCCATTCGATCTTCAGTATGTAGTGAAGGCAGCTGTTGATGAAAGTCTCCAGCCTTTCAGATTGGCTATCTTTCATTTCTAAGAAAAAATTGTCGCTAAATAATTTTATTGGTTATAAACTGTTGTCATCACTTTTATAGATGTTTTAGTTCTTGTGTTTTATTATTTTTCAATTATTTTTTTACACTAAACACTTATAAATTATCCTCATTCTCTTAGATTTTGTTTTAAATATAATATGATTTCTATAGGTAATGGTTTCGATAAAAGCATTTTGTAGAATAACTTTCAAGTATATCTACCATTTGGTTTTTATTTCTCAAAGGTGGGCTAATTGTTTATGAGGAGAAGAGTTTTCTACTGTCAATAAATATAATTAGCAATAAGATAAAACGATAAATAATTGATTGTGAATACACTAACCATCTGAGCTATTCACTGATAAATAATCCATCTGATATATGTTGTGATGACTAAGAGTGAATAGTTCTCTAATCGTACATATTTATATATATTAAGTAAAATAAATAAAAATATTGCTAGCTGACCAAAAGTTATGGTACAGCTCTCAGTACTGATAAAAACTCCTAAAACATTTATGCTGTAAATAGTCAATACTGTACAACATTGGTATGTCATATATATATATATATTATTCACTGGCCAAGTTGAACTTTATGCATCAGTATGTACCAACAGAGTGCAACCGCACTAGGGACCTTGGAACGCCTGGTCAGCAAGTTAGTGAAACTGGGTAAATTATATTATAATGATGTATAAAATGTACTTAATGAAGTGTTTTGATAATATTAAACGGGATATCTGGTAGGTTTCCCTTAGGTTTATGAATGATTAAGTTATGGTTTGGGCTAAGGACAGGTTAGAGTTAGGTTAACCTGATAAGGGAGATATTTCAGTTATGATTTTACGAGTTGATCACGGATTGATATGGCTCATGAATTCTAACTTCTACCAATTCGTTATTTAGCGCGACCCCAACCATTGTCGTTGGTGGGACATCCATCTACACACGTGACATTTAATTGGACCTCACTGGTCCATTGCGTTGGGTCCCAGTGGCTGAATGGTACACGAGCTTGCCTTGTAACTGGAGGGTCCTCGGTTCGAACCCTGCTAGTGGTGGGTGCGTACTGCTGATGATTCCCAAAACTAGGATGAAACAGCAGCTGTCCAGTACTCCCTGGTTTTCAATGGTTCTCTAACTGATATCAATCCATGATCAACTCATAAAAACATAACTAACCCTTACAAACCAAACTAGAGAAAATGTTTCAGTTAGTTAGATTTAAAAAGGAGTTAGTTTAGAGCTAGTTTTACGTTAGGGTCAGGAGACCTGGATGGGTACATGTATAGAATGTGAAATAATAACGCTTTTGACATTTCAATCCAAGATTGAGGAATACTTTTTTCATATGTCATAAAAAGGTATTCTGTGTAACAGTCGCATCACGTTTTATCTATTAATCTCATAAATATCTGTAATTAATACATAAAAGTCGCCTATGTCATGTGTTCAATGCATTAAAGGTCATTTGTTCACTGCTTCATTTTAGTGCTTAAAGCTTAACTTCACCTATTCAGTTTATTTGGTCATGACAAATCCTTGCATTATGTTAGGAGTCAAACAAGCAGTTTTTTGTCATAATGGGCTGATCATGTATCAATCGAACCACTAAAATTCACACTTCAGTCAAGGCGAAGTATTTTAGTTTTATCATTCGGTATTTCATTTCTGAAGGTGTATGAATTAAGCACCTAATAATCAGTGTTTCTACCTGATTATATGAATAGCTTCGCGAAAGTCTAAAGTATATATATATATATAATCTCATTGGTAATTACATTTATTGACAGTAGGAAACTCTTCTTCTCATAAACAAATAGCCCACCTTTGAGAAACAAAAACCAAATGGTATAATACTTGAAAGTTATTCTACAAAATGCTTTTATCAAAACCATTACCTATAGAAATCATATTATATTTAGAGCAAAATCTAAGAGAATAAGGATAATTTATAAGTGTTGAGTGTAAAAAAATAGTTGAAAAATAATAAAACACAAGAACTAAAACGTCTATAAAAGTGATAACAACAGTTTATTACCAATAAAATTAGTTAGCGACAATTTTTCTTAGAAATGAAAGATATCCAGTTCGAAAGGCTGCAAACTTCCATCAACAGCTGCCTTCACTACATAGTGAAAATCGAACGACCAGAAACTATGGGAACCTATTGCTCAACAAACAGGTAGGAGAAAATGGAGATGGAGAGGGTATCCGCTGAGGAGACCGTCGAGTGACACTGCGTACCAAGCTCTCGAGTGGAACTCGAATGGTAAACGATGAGTGGGTGGTCCACGGGTGACAAGGAGGAGGTAGTGCGAGGGGGAAGTAAGAGGTTATGGGCGATTATGCGGCCAGCCAAAAATGACAGCAGAAAATAGAACAAAGCGGAGATATGCTTTTAAATTCCTCTGTGTCACTTGGAACCTAGGGAAACAATGATAATAATAATGATAAGAGCTAGTCTAAGAGTTTAAAAAGCAAACTGAAGCTAGGATTGGTTATTGAATCTATAATGAAAAAGCACTATTAAGGTGAGCATTTTGGATGGCATATATTACAGTGTGTTATTTCGTAAAATGATTACTTGAAATAAAATGTATTAAAAATTTATATAATGAACAGCACTCTTCAGTGTGCACCAGATATGATATATAAATATATCATTATTATTATTATTCCCTTGAGTTCCAAGTGGAACATAAGGTCTCAACAACACATCTCCAGTTTCTTGTATTTTCTGCTGCCCTCTTCAGCTTAGTCCACAATTGCTTATTATCTCTCATTTCCTCCAACTCTCATGATCTCCTCCATGTTACCCTCGCACTGACGACCCACTCATCGCTTCCTATTCGGATTCCACTCTAGCAATGGCCTACATTACGCACGATGTCACCCGAAGACCTCCTCAACGTATGCCCGATCCATCTCCATTTTCTCCTACATTTTCTTTTGGCAATCTGCTCTTGGTTGGTTTGTTCATTGCCACAGTTACTTATTGCTAATTCCTTTTGTCTGGTTGGCCATTTGATCTTGAGTATGGTTCCAGTGAAGGCAGATGTTGATAAAAGTCTGTGACTAGTTGGAAATCCTTTTTGTGAAGCGCGTGCCAAGTTTCTGATCCATATAGTAGAAGTGACTGCACATTTGTGTTGAAAATCCGAATCTTGTTCTTAATGCGAAGTAACCGCTGAAGATTTTCAAACTGGTTTCAGGTTGATGAAGGCGTATCTTGCCTTTGCGATTCTCGCCTACTCTGAAGTCTTCATCCGTTCCGGAAGCCTGTAGTTGAAACATTGCTTCCTAGATAAGTGAAGGAAGTAACTTCTGTCAAATCTCTCCTATTGATCGTGATTGGTGTTGGTCGTTGTTTTTGTATAGTCAGCCTGTTTAAAATCAGAACTAACAAATATAATCGCAACAAAAAGTTATGTAGATGCATAATATGTTGCGGAATACTTAAGCAATATCAAGTATTTTAGCTTCCATACATTTGGTTTTTCATTTGATAAATTCCAATTAATAAAGAAAACATAAAATTATATCATTCTGTTTCACAGGTTCTCATCGGCTGCAATCTACCCGAAATTATAATTGTTATAAATAATAACCTATTTCAGTGTTTAAATAGTATTAGAGAATACATTATAAAAATTAATGCATCAGAAAAGTAAGTATTACAATATTTAGTTTAAGTTGCCACCAATTTATATACTTTCAAAGTAGAAAAATGGAGGGTGGAGAGTGGAAGACAGAAGACAGAAAAACCTAATAAACAGTGCTAACTTGTGAGTTCATATAACAACTCAAAAAAGGTTGTAGTTCATGAGACTGAAAATTTGCCCAGTGAGCTGAAATCACTAATATGAATGATCGATCATTGTAGTTTTTACAATAGTTTCTCCATTACTACTCAAAGATTGAAGTAGGTTATTGCTATTTTTTATAACCACTATAATTTCAGGTAGTTTGCAGCCGATGAGAACCTGTGAAGCAGAATGATAACAAATTTATCGATATTTTAGTTTATTCTAGAGTTTTAGATTCAAAAAAACCAAACTCGGTTATTATTAGTATCCTGAGTTCCGAGTGGGTCATAGGACGTCAACAGCACACCTCCATCCCACCCTGTTCTCCGCAGTCCCCTTTAGGTAGCTCCACTTTGTCATACGACCTACTCCATATCACTCC